CTGTGAAGACATGAATGCATCTAGTAGATCCGTACTGAATGCTTACTGTGTGTACTGGGAATACAGCACAGCACACAGCACACGGCGCTCCATCCTCACGAGGTGGGAACGGACCTTAGGCAGGACTTAAACGGGGTAGACAGACAGGAAGTCATTGTGTTTGTGAGTGGCGGTCAGGGAAGACCTGGCTTGCCTTCGAGCAGGGACCTGAGGATGAGGTGGAGACGGCAAATGCAAAAGCCCTGGGTGGAGCTGGGCTTAGGGGCTCTCGAAAATAATCCTCCCCATTTTTGAGACAGGGTTTCTCTACAGCTTTGGAGCCTGTCTTGAAACTCGGTACATGACTGCAGGCAAATTATTTACCCCCCCCCCGGGTCTCAGTTTATCTACCTGTAAAGTGGGGTTCATGTTAATTTATTCATTGTGATAGGCAGCTTCTAAAATGATTCCTAATAATGGTGTGTGTTCACAACCCCTGTGAATGTGAACTGTATGGTGGTTCACTTCTAATTTATACAACCAAGGCTGGCTTGCTAATTTTCTATGGATACTGTCACAAACTGCCATAGACGTGATGGTTTAAAGTAATCCTGTTTCCTGATCCGCAGTTTTGGGAGGCACTCATTGGAGTGGGTCTTGCTGAGCTACAGTCACGGATCAGCAGGGTCCTCCCTCCCTCCATGCCTACCTTCCTTTCCTTTCCTTCCTTTTTCTTTCTCCCCTTTTCAACCGCAGGGCCTTGCACATTCTGGGCACACACCCTATCCACTGCTTCTCCAGGCGTGTGGCTTTGTTCCTTCTGGAAGCTCCAGGAAAGAATCTGTTTCCTTAGCTTGTCCCTTCAATCCAGAGACTGCTTGCAGGGCTTAGCTCATGGTCCCTTCCTCCATCTTCCAAGTGCATCGCTCCAGCTTCCTTCCCATCATCCCACCGTCACTCACTCTGACTCCCCTGGGCTTCCTCTTCCTGCTTAGAAAGATCCTCATGACAGACTGAGCTCACCTGTGCTGTTTAGAATGTTCTTCCCGTGTTCAACTGCTTCAAAAGCAAAACCCCTTGTCATGGAAGCCACTTTACAAATTGTGGTAGGTGTTTTTTGTTTTTTTTTTTTTTGTTGTTTTGAGTCAGGGACTATGTTTCCCTGGCTGGCCTTGAACTCACAAACACTCACCTCTCTATGCCTCCTAAGTGTGCGGGATTAAAGGTGAACACCACCATGCTTGGTAACACAGGAGAGAATGGCTTTGCTGAAAAACTGGTGTTTGAACAGAGACTTGAATGATGGAGGAAAACATTCATTTGCGGGGGAGGGGAGAGAGTATTCTAGGTATAGAGGGCACCAAGTGCTAAGGACCTGTGGAGTGGGCCTCGCTCTTTTTCTATCAGGGGCAAGGATTTGCATCACTCTTTCCTCTGGGTCTCGGTCATTTCCTCTCAGGCGAAGAGCGGTAGGATGGAAGCTGCAGAGGGTGGCTCATCTCATGAAAGTGGGGAAATTCAGGATCATTTGTAGGAGGGAAGGGATATAAGGGGGAAAAAATGAAATAAAATAAAAGCCCTTAGGAGGCAGGACCAGCTGTGTTCTTCCAGCTCCGCGCTTCCGGAGGACTGGAGCCCTCAGCAGTGCGCCAGCGCCCCCTGGTGGTCACCAGGAAGGCACATTTAGCGGCAGTCTGGCAGGCGGGCAGACCGCTCCCAGCAAGTTCTGCCCGCCTGGACCTCCAAAGCTGTGCCCTGTTCACTTGAGGTCTATAAGCTTAATCACTCATTTATTTAGAGGTTTTTGTTTGTTTTGCATGAGCCACGCTGTCATGAAGCCCAGGCTGGCCTCAGCTCACTACATAGTAGGAGAATGACTAACCTACCTCCACCTGGGCAGCCCTGGAATTACAGGTGTGTCCCTCCATGCTCGTCCTAGCCCTGGGCACTTTAAAAAGTACTTTTATGTTTGAGGCCCAGTGCTAAGTACATTACAGGTACTCTCACTTAATCCTCTTGGTCAGCCCTGTTAGGTGGGGCTGTGGCAGCTCCCATTTTAAAGGTGAGGATGGGAGGAGACAGTTAGCTAGTGTCCACTGATTCCAGGCCCTCCTGTTTCTGAAAGGACAAGATTATGGCAAGAAGCATCTGAAAGTGCTAGCCATAGCCACATATAGTACAAGTGTTAGCCCCATGGGGGCTGTTAATATGCCCCTTTAACAGCAGGGGAAATTAATGTAGAGAACGTAGGTATTTGCCTCAGATCACACAGAGAGCGAAGAGGACCAAGCAAGAACTGGGAACACAGGGGCTGAAGAGACAACTCTGCAGCATTAGCTGCTCTTGCAGTGGACGGAGATCCCATTTCCAGCACCCACATGGCTCACAACTGTCTGTAGATCTGATGCCCTCTTCTAGCCTGTGTGGCTCCAGGGGCATGCATGGTGCACAGGCATATGCCTAGACCAAGCACCTACATATAAAATAAAAAATTAAAGACGATAAAAGAGAAATAGGAAAGCACTGAGCAGCCTTGGGCTCGTCCCTATGTTCTGTTCATAACTGCTAAGTGTGCACCTAGGAGGTGCCCATCCCTGTGTGCAGCTCAGCGTGAGGCATGCAGGGGGGGGGAGGGAGAGAGGGAGAGAGAGAGAGAGAGAAAGAAAGGGAGAGAGGGAGAGAGAGAGGGAGAGAGAGAGAGAGAGAGAGAGAAAGGGAGAGAGGGAGGAGCAGAGGGGGGAGGGAGGGAGGGAGAGGGAGGTGCCTGGGGCTAACTAAACTGGTTGAGCTGAATTAGTGAGTTCAGTGTTCTGCAAGGGACCCTGTACTGGTTGGCTTTGTGTGTCAACTTGACACAAGCTAGAGCCATCAGAGAAAGAAGCCTCAGGTGAGGAAATGCCTCCTTGAGGTTCAGCTGCAAATTTTCTCATTTAGTGATAAACTGGGAGGGCGGGGCCCACTGTGGGTAGTGCCATGCCTGGGCTATTGGTCCTGGGCTCTGTAAGAAGGTGGGCTGAGCGAGTCATGGGAAGCAAAGCCAGTAAGCAGCTTCCCTCCATGGCCTCAGCTCCTGCTTTCAGGACCCTACCCTGTTTGAGTCCCTGTCCTGACTTCCTTCACTAATGAACGGCAATGCTGAAGTGTGAGCCTAATAAACCCTTTCCTCCCCAGCTTGCTCTTTGGTCATGGTGTTTCGTCACAGCAATAGAAACCCTAAGACAGACCCTGTCTTAAAAACAAAAACAAAAACAAGGCAGAGTGCCAGAGAGATGGCTCAGTGGGTAACAGCACCACTGCCAACCCTGAGAATCTAAAGTCAGTCCCGGGGACCCACACAGGGGTTTAGTAGAGAGATGACTCCACAGTTGTTCCCTGACTTCAACACATGCCCTGTGGTGTGCGAGCACTCAACGCATCCACAGACCTTGCACCACCCTCTAAAGAGGAGTTACATGCAGCTCCTCAAATACAGCATGGCTCTGGAGATGTCATTAAGACTCTACTTTTAGGCTGGATGGTGGTGGCGCACGCCTTTAATCCCAGCACTTGGGAGGCAGAGGCTGGAAGATCTCTGTGAGTCTGAGGACAGTCTGGTTTACAGAGCAAGTTCCAGGACAGCCAGGACTACATGGAGAATCCCTGTTACAGAAAAAATAATAATAACACTATACTTTTAGATGCTAAGAGCTATGCTTTTAGAACTAGGCAATCCTGGGGTTAAATGACAAACTCGTCATTGACAGTATGATCAAAGGTATCGGCAGGTTATCGGCCTCTCCAACAAGGATAAAATACATGGAGGAGGCTTCTGTGGAATAATCCTTCTACATACTGTGTAATTTATGCTGTGATTGGTTTAATAAAGAAACTGACCAGACAATAGTTGGACAGGATAAGGCTGAGCAGGAAAACTAGACTAAGGACAGTGGGAAGAAGGGCAGAGTCAGAGGACACCCAGTGTGTCTCCGAGGTGGTCTGCTAAGTTATCAGGAGCTCCTCCTGGATGACAAGTTCATCATCCAGGTGGCATCAGGCCTTCAATCTTCTGCCCCTTTGTCCTTGTGGACTGGTGGCCAATGGACCTTGAGGAAAAAAAGGGACCCCAGAAATGTTCACAGTTATTGCAAATTCATCGGCACTGTTGTTAACTGAACCCAAAAAGGTTCTGGAATTCCCTCAGGATAGTCAGTTTACAGGTACGAGGGAAGCTTATCCCATGTTTGCTAATAGAAAAGCAACAGAGCTGAAATAGTTTTTGAAATAGCAGTATATTTTCTTTGCATACAAAAAGAACCAAAACATGTCGCTTCTGTAAATGGAGTCAAAGATAAAGTTTACGGCTGTGAGTAATTAGGTTTATAATTCTCTACAGTAAACTTGGCACAAAGAGAAAAAAGGGAAAGACAGGCACAGGAGAGACAGAGAGAGGGGTGGGGTGGGGAGGCAGCGGAGAGGAAGCTCAGAGGCAGACCTTCTCGTGAAATGGCATGACAAGAGCAAGGAAAGGACACTACAGTTTATGGCTGTGAGGAATTAGGGCCTGGAATTCTTTCAGTGGTGACTTCCTGGACACAAACTGATTTTCATGGATTCAAGCTTTATGGAAGAGTTTTAGCCAAGCCAGGCGGTGGTGACCCATACCTTTAAACCTAGCACTCGGGGGGGGGGGGGGGGGGGGGGGGGGGCAGAGGCAGGCAGATCTCTGTGAGTTCAAGGCCAGGCTCCAAAGCTAAAAAGAAACCCTGTCTTGAAAAAGAAAAAAAGGAGGAGGAGGAGGAGAAAGAGGAAGAAGAACTTGTTTCAGCCAAGTAAAACCATAATGTTTAAAATGTTTTGGCCACACTATGAGTTTTCTTTCTTTTAAGCTTGTAAACAATAGGATTTATATACCAAGCTTCAAAACTTGGTGATTTCAGACATACATATTCAAAAGGTTTAGCAAGGTTGTATCATTTCTAAATGACTATATGTAGTTTTTTTTTTTTTTTTTTTTTTTTTTTTTTTTAACAAAAAGCCTGTAATCAAATAGAAAAGAGTGGCTTTTATTTAAAAAAAAAAAACCTGTCTCTTGGCACAGTTTTTTCCATATGCAGGGTACAAAAACATATTTACATTTCCAAACTTTCAGAATCCTGATACTAGATTGGGACAGTACTTTAGACAAAGCTTCCTACCCGTTCCATAATTTTCGCTTTCCTACAGTTTGTTTCGTGCATGAATTCTCTGGTGTTTAGTAAGAGCTGAGCTCCTACTGAAGTTTTTCCCACATTCCTTACAAGCGTAAGGTTTTTCTCCAGTATGGATTCTCTGGTGATCGTGCAGGTTGGTTTTCTTTCTAAAGGCACGCCCACATTCATTACATTCATAGGGTTTCTCCCCGGTGTGTGTTCTTTCATGCTGAATAAGGGATGAGCTCTGACTGAAGGCTTTGCCACAGTCGATACATTCATAGGGTTTCTCTCCAGTGTGGGTTCTCTCGTGCTGGGTCAGTGAGGAGCGCCGACTGAAGGCTTCTCCGCATTCGTTACATTCGTAGGGTTTCTCTCCAGTGTGAATTCTATGATGCTCTATGAAACTTGTGCTCCTTTTAAAAGCTTTTCCACATACATTACACTGGTAAGGCTTCTCTCCGGGCCGAGACACAGACTGCTCAGCGTCATAGGATGTCTCTCCAGCATGGACCCTCTGATGGTCCGTGAAATCTGCGATGTGACTGAAGTCTTCCCCACAGTTATCACGATGGTGCGAATTCACTTCAGGAAGTGCACTTTCACCTGGAATCAGAGATGCATTGGGCTCCAAAGCCATGCTGGAGTCGCTGCTTTGGTAAGGCTTGCCTCTTTTGTGAATCCTCATATGCTTGTAGAGGGATGGGCTCTGCCCAAAAGCCCTCCCACATATGCTACATTCAAAAGGCTTCTCTCCGGTGTGAGTCCTCTCGTGCTGGACAAGCGAAGAACATCTACTAAAGGCTTTCCCGCACTCCTTGCACTGGAAGGGTTTCTCTCCACTGTGTGTAACCTCGTGTTGAGTGAGGGAGGTACCATGCCTGAATGACCGCCCGCAGAGATTGCATCGGTAGGGTTTTTCTCCAGTGTGGATTCTCTGGTGTTGAACGAGGGAGGAACTGCGCTGGAAGGCTTTCCCACAGAGACTACACTGGTAAGGCTTCTCTCCTGTGTGTGCATTTTCATGCTGACCGAGGGATGAGCTGTGCCTGAAGGCCTTCCCACACACAGTACACTCGAAGGGCTTTTCCCCAGTGTGAATTCTCTGATGTTCAGTAAGCTGTGTTTTCCAGAGGAAGGTCTTCCCACAATCAGTACATTCATGATGTTTCCTTCCAGGATAGATGCCTTGGTCTGTACCATTGGGATAAGCATCATCTTTATGAATTTTCTCATGCTTATTAAGGGATGATCTGTGAATAAATGACTTTCGACATTTATCACATTTATAAGGCTTCTTTTTTGCAAGGACACTATTCCGAGTAACTAACTCCAAGTTATTTCCAAGTGTTTCACAGCCACTGGGCCTCACACTTGAAGGCATGTCTAGTTGTGGGACCAAGTCTGTGCTCAATCTAGAGTCTTCGTCAAATTTATTTTGCTCCAGATTTGTCTCCAGAGTGGCTATTTCTTTCTGGGCCGATGCCTCTGGTCCCAGATGTCTCCCCCAACTCTCCTGGTGCCTCTGGATCCTGACATCCCAGGGATCTCCCTGTGTGGCACGTGACAGAACATCTGTACTGTGGGATCCTCCAGATGTGCCCTGCCGAAGACTTGACGGCTTGGTTTCAGGCTTGGTCTTCCAGTCTAAAAGAAATATAAAGTGCAAAGGTTCCCAAATTCCTTTCAGAGCAAACAGAAGGCTACAGGACAGATAAGACTGCGGAAGCCTTATGCTGCGGGAAAGAGAGTGGGGTGTCAGTGAGTATTACAAATCCAGAGCATCTGTCACGTCCAGGGAACGAGGCAAGCCCTTGTGAGTGGGGTTAGTCTGACAGGAAGCAAAAGAAGAAAGGAGCCGAAGTGTGTGAGGTGCAGATGTGTGTGTTTTTAATGTGTGTGATGTATGTATAACACTTATAGTAAAATAATATTTATTCTATGTAGGTGCAGGGAACTGAACCCGAGTCCAAGGCAAGAGCAAGTGCTCAAACCGCTGAGCCGTCTCTCCAGCTCCCTAATTCCTTCTCTTGACCACGGATCTATTTCAATCAACAGATGTATTCCTAAGTCTGTTTTTACCACAGAATGCTAATACTAGATAACACATTCATTTTTAGGTTCTAAGAATGGGAGCCTTTAGGGCTGGGGAGTCGGCTCAGTGTTGAAGAGCACTTGTTGCTCTTGCAGAATTCCAGGATCGATTCCCAGCACCCACGTGCAAACTCATAATCATCTGTAACTCTAGTCTCAGAGGACCCAACGCCCTCTTTTCTGAGCTCTACGGGCATCAGGCATACACATGATGTATATACATACACGCAGGCAAAACACTCATATACATAAAACAATGAAATAAATAAATCTAAAAATGGTTATCTTTAAAACCTAAGGGAAATGCCAGGCATGGTCACTTATACCTAGAATTCCAGTACTTGAGAAACTGGGGCAGAATAGATCATGAGTTTGAGGTCAGTCTGGATGTAGGGAGATGCTTTCTCAAAAAAAAAAAAAAAAAAAAAAAAAAAAAAAAAAAAAAACAAACCCCCACCCAAAAAAACAACAACAAAAATACTAGGGAATATGGGTTGAAAGGGTGAACACACTTGTCAAAAGCAATAGGATTGTACATATAAGCATTTATTTAAAAAAAAAAACTGAGCTGGACGTGGTAGCACATACCTTTAACTCGGGGGGTGGGGAGGCAGAGGTAAGCAGATCTCTGTGAGTTCAAGGCTAGCTTGATCTACAAGACAAGTTCCAGGACAGCTAGAACTTTTACACAGAAGACCCCTATTCTGAAAAACCAAAAGATGCCTCTTCTCTGTGGGCTGTACACACATGGTGCACAGACATACATACAAGCAAGACACACATATATATAAAAACAAGTGGACAGGGTTTGAGAGATGGCTCAGTATTTAAGAGCACATATGGTTTTTGCAGAGGACCCAAGTTCAGTTCCCAGCACCTGCTGGGAGTAGATTTGAGTGGCTGCCATTACAAGATGGCATTTGGCCCCAGCCTCCCTTGATACCATAATAAAGGTTGCAGTTCTTCCACTAGAAAACAGGATGAGTTGTTGTGATCTAGCTGCCCACACTTCCCCTGACCGGCAGGGGAACTTCCTTGTGGTCTGTAATTGACAGGGATGTTCCCCTGCTTTCTTTCCTGCCAGTGGGTCTCCAGAAAAGCAGTTAAAGTATCAAAGAGGCAAAGGTTGCTAAGCAGACTCCCTATATAAGCAGCTACAGCTCAGAGCTCTGGGCCCCTCACTTTCTGCTCTCTCTTCAACCAAGAGGCTCCAATAAAGCGTGATTTGAGAAGAATCCTCGTCTGTTGGCTGTTCTTTCCTGCTGGCCAGGGAGTTCGCCGCAAGCACCCACACTGGGTAGCTAACAACTGACTGTACCTCCAACTCCAGAGGATCCAGTATCCTCCTCCTCTGGCTTTGGTGGACACTCTACACGGGTACACATACTTCCTACTTTTGCATACATATAAAGAAAGTGATCTCTTTATAAAAAAAAAGCCAGAATAAACATGCCCTGAGAGTCTTGTTTTCTTTTTCCAGACATGCCCTGAAATTTAAGAATAATTAATTAAAAACTTTGACTCTGGACTCAGGAGTAAGTTCAGCAATACAGCACTTTTTAAAAAGAACTTGTGCAAAGTCCTGGATTTTATTCTCAATATTTCAAAAGGAAAAAGAAAGGAAACAACTCCAGTTACTGATATGCATACTTATGTTTCCAACTTCCTTTAAAGTGCATTAAAAAGGTAATTTCTCCATGAGCAGATAAGGAGATGTGATCAAGCAAATACCACACTACCAACAAATGTGATCATCTAGGCAGCTTTATGATAATTGCTGCAGTTTTTTATTTTTCCATATATTTGAAATTTTTTATAATAAAATATTGGGAGAGGAAACACAGTTGAAAAAGCCCAATTCCCAAATACCTACACTTGCAATGAGAATTAATCCTAACCTCATAAGGACAGTCACACACAATGGCACTTGTAACTTCAGCACCTGGGAGCTGCAGGGTGGCAAGTCTGAGGCCAGCCTAGACAACACACTCTCACAAACAAAAACAAGAAACAAAACTCCTATGGGCAGGAAAGGCTTTGTATTATTAGAATTATTTTCAGTGGGTCACTTAATAAAAATTTAGTTTTTGTTTGTTTTTTTTTTTTTCATTAGTGAAGACCCGGAACAGAATTTTTTCAAACAGTGTGCACTCGCTGAGTATCGATTTACTAAGGAGTGTACGGTTACAGAACACAATGTACTGAAGCTAGACAGAAGCTCCATCACAAGGTGAGCTCTCTCTGTGAGTTAAAAATGAACCCAGATTTGCTGGCCTTTGAACACCTTGCTTTTTCAAAAACTCTAACATGCTTCTTCTTCTTTCTTTCTTTGTTTTGTTTTGTTTGTTTTTCAAGACAGGGTTTCTCTGTGTAGCCCTGGCTGTCCTGGAACTCCTTTTGCAGACCAGGCTGGCCTTGGACTCAGACCGCCTACCTCTGCCTCCCTACAGCTGGGCTTAAAGGCGTGACCACTGCCCAACTAACATGCTTTCTTTTAAACAGTGAAGGCAGTGCTGAGTCCTATAGAATGTGCGCTTAGAACAGCACTGTGATGCTAGGACCAAGATTCACCTTACACTAACCTCTGTTTTATGGTTTTGCTTTGTTTAGAGACAGGACCTCACTATGCAGCCATGAGTGGCCTAGAGCTCACAGAGATCTACTACCTACCTCTGCCTTCTGGATGTTGGCATTAAAGGGATATGGAGGGCTAACTTCTCACTTAAGACGGTATAAAGCTGGGTGTGGTGGTACATGCCTATAATCCCAGCGCTGGGGTATCTTTTCCCCGAAGACTTACTGCCAGTAGGAATGCCTGACTGGAAAAGAGAAACGTGCAGATTGTCACCCAGAAACAGTTTCAGATTCCTCTGCGTGTCGGACAGCTCCCAGGCCTCTCCGTGAGCTGTGCCACCGTCTACACGGATCTCCACGAGCAGAATTCTTACTCGTTTACCTGGACAGAAAGGTCTCTGGATTTCTCTCTCTGATATCCACGGCTCTTCTCCTTGCTCCAATTTGAAGATCACCTCTGGCTTGGACACCTGATACCCTGCTCATGGGTAAACAGACAAGATTTGGGTGTTCGATCAAGAAGACAGAGAACCTTCCTAAAAGTCAGTACTAGTCCTTGATCCTCAGGACCTTTCAGAGAAGAAAAGGTACAGCTTAAGAAGGAAAGCTAGTGAAGTCCCCTCTTCTGGGTCTGTAAAACGACCTTTCAGGCTCACAACCAAGCCCCGGACTTCCTCTCAGTTACTAGGCTGCATGCAACCGAGGAAGGAAACCTCGGCGACGCGTGAGCCAGCGGGGAAGTAGCCTCCTTACCGAGAGAGACCAGGTGGCTGTAGTTCTCCAGCATCACGTCCCTGTATAAGCTCCTCTGGGCAGGGCCCACGTGGTGCCATTCTTCCCGGGTGAAGTCCACAGCCACATCTTTGAATGTCACGGACTCCTGTGGGATCACAGGCCTGCTCAGGTAGGGATCAACTCCACAAATGCTCCTCCCAAAGTCCAGGAACAGACCTTGCTGCTCAAAGGGAAATGTTTGTCTTGAGACGCTGATTTTTAAAGCATGTAGCTCGTCTGACAGGAAAGTCAAAGGGGAAATAGATCCCACACCCCTGCATATGCTATTGTGTCTCTCCTTTCCTTTCCCACCTCTTTATCCTGATGCTTTTGCCTCTCCCTCTCCCGGGCCAGGACTGCAGACCTACGCAAACATGCCTAGCTTACAGCTCACACTCTCGTCCATCTATCTTGCTGTTTTCCTTTCAAATCAAACCTTTTATACGGTTGTTCATTCCTCACTGCTTTCTTTCCTTGCTCTGTTCCAGATTCAAACATGGGACTATAGAAACGACCGAAAAAGGATAAAAAACGACAGCCTTTCCCTCCTCGTCCTCTTTATCTCCCCACGTGATCCTTCTCAACAGTTGGTGTGTATACTTGGAAGTCCCATGTCCATGTTTTACTCACGTACTGCAGGCACACTTCATGAAACATCACACATATTGCTCTGCAAATTGCTTCTATGTATTTACTATTTTTTTTTTAAAAAAATATTTGGGGGCAATGGCTCAGTGGTTAAGGGCACTAACTGCTCTTCCAGAAGTCCTGAGTTCAATTCCCAGCACCCACAAGGTGGCTCACAACCATCCATAATGAGATCTGGTGCCCTCTTGTGGCCTGCAGGCATACATGCAGGAGGTAGAACACTACACATAATAAATAAATATCTTTTAAAAATTGTTCTCTTATTTATATGTGTATATCTGAGGGTATGCATATACACTATGTTCACGTAGGAGGCCCATGGTGGTTAGGAGAGGGCATCAGAGCCCCCAGAAGTGTGTGGTAGGCAGCTGTGAGCAGCCTCGTGTGTTTTGGAAACTGAACCCATGCCTTCTGCAAGAGCAGTAAGTGCTCTTAACTGATGAACCATCCTTCCAGCTCCTACTCATTTACTAATTTTTGAGAGAGATTCTCATGTATCCCAGGATAATCTCAAACTCGCTATGTAGTGGAGGCTGAACCCCCAATTCTTCTGTTTCTGCTCCCCAAAAGTAGGACTACAGGCATGCACCACTTCATCTGCTTTCTGTGGTGCTGGAATGGAAGCCATGGCTTGGTGCATGATAGGGAAGCAATTCTACCAACTGAATGCATCTCCAGCTCTACAATTAGATTTTTACATTAGGCTTTCTTGGGGATCATCCCACATATATTGTACCTTATAGTGTCAAACTATTTTAGAACCCCCCCCACAGCTGTATGTCAGGGTACCCAACTGCTGGTTTCTGCTCCAGATGATATAAATTCAAGCACCCTCCCCTCAACACTAATCCTCAGGCCACAGCTACACCCAATCTTGCTGGCCCTTGAGGATATCAAGCTGTGTTAAGAACCATAAGATACATGATACATTTCAAAGCCTCAGTAGGATAACATGGTTGAATACCCCATTAGTAATTTAAAGATACTGATTATAAATAGAAGTGATAATAAACCGAGTTAAATCAGATGCATTACTAATATCACATTTTATATTATTTTTGCATCATGGATAAATAACAATACTTTCTTTTGTCTGTTGGTTGTTGTTTTTTTTTTTTTTTTTTTTTTTTTGGTTTTTCGAGACAGGGTTTCTCTGTGGTTTTGGAGCCTGTCCTGGCACTAGCTCTTGTAGACCAGGCTGGTCTTGAACTCACAGAGATCCGCCTGCCTCTTTTTGTTTGTTTTTTGAGACAGGGTTTCTCTGTGTAGCTTTGGAGCCTGTCCTGGAACTCTCTTTATAGACCAGACTGGCCTCGAACTCATCCGCCTGCCTCTACCTCCCGAGTGCTGGGATTAAAGGCTGTGCCACCACCGCCCAGCAACAACACTTTTTTTCCTTTTTGGGTGATTCTAAGAGACTTGTACACCCTTGTGTGTGTTCACAGATAAGCACTAGGGGAACCAGGAATGTTGAATGCACAAAGTTGTTGCCAGGCAGTGGTGGTGCACGCCTTGAATCCCAGCATTTGGGAAGCAGAGGCAGGCGGATCTATGATTTTGAGGCCAGCCTGGTCTGCAGAGCAAGTTCTAGAACAGCCAGAGCTGTTACACAGAGAAACACTATCTTGAAAAACCAAATAAAAAAAAAAAAACCCAAAACATAAAACCACATTAGTATTTTTATCTAGATTGAATGTGATTACATGATACATATAGCAACTACAATTTTTAGTTTATTGTTAATTTTAAAATTATTTCATTTGGCTGGGCGGTGCTGATGAACACTTTTAATACCAGTACTAGGGAGGCAGAGGCAGGTGGATCTCTGTGAGTTCAAGGTCAGTCTGGTCTACAGAGCTAGTTCTAGGACAACCAAAGCTACACAAAGAAACCCTGTCTTGAAAAACAAAAACAAAACAAATTATTTTATTATGTGTCTGTGTATGGGTATTTTGAAAAACTTTTTATTCCAACAAAGGTAGTTAGTCCAATAAAGGCCTGCACTATATTCCCCTGAACTTTTTCCCCTTTGCAACAATTAGCCAGTTTCGTCAGACTACACAGTCAAGCTTCAGTTACCGTGATCGGTTTCAGTCAGCACCTACATGAGGGATAAGACAGAAGCCATCTTAGCAAACTGTGCTTGTTAGCTCATTTTGGGTTGGGTTTCAATTTTAGAAAACACATTGCCTTGCTAACTTCTTTCACTTTGTGTGGTCCTTTGTTCCTCGGTTCCTTGAGTTGAGATTTTTCTCTCCTCTGTTTCTAACAGTATGGTCACATCAGTGTGGGTGCTCAAGCAAGACGGAGGCCTTTTGCCCCCTCGGAACCAGATTATACAGCAGTTGTGAGCTGCCTGGCATGGGCGTTAGGGTCCGAACTGTTCTCTGCAACAGCAATGTGTGCTTTTACAGTATGTGCTCTTAAATGGTGAGCCATCTTTCCAGCCCATCCCTATTTTCCCTGAGGTGCTGGGAACTGAACCTAGGACCTCACGTACGCTAGGCAAGAGATCTACCATCAAGCTATATGCCTAGTCCTTACCCTTTATTCTAAAGAGAGTGTGGATTATGTTTTCCCTTAGAGACAGGGTTTCTCTGTGTAACAGCGCTGGCTGTCCTGGAACTTGCTCTGTAGATCAGGCTGGCCTCGAACTCACGGAGATCCACTTTCCTCTCTGCCTCCCAACTGCTGGGATTAAGGACATGTGCCTTTCTGCCCGCACAGATCAGCCTCTTATTAATTAACCTGAGGCTGGGACTACTGAGGGAGTGCACTATTATAGATCTGTTAAAGGAAAAAAAAAAAAAAAAGACAAGCGCAAGGGGCAAGAAAAACTCGGAGCTAGTGGGTCCAGGTTTGGCTGGATGTTGGGTCTCAGATTCAACGCGACCATCCTTCACCATCTTCTTCCTCTGACCATGGCTCATCTGCTCCCTGCTCATATGCCCCGTGGATGAGCCATAAAGCTTCACTTTTCTATCTTGTCATCCTACTCTCTCCACTCCTCACTGAAGAGTTCAAAGGACCCGCACAGCAATAAAGGTTCAGTGCCGAGAATCCCAATACATTCAGTTCTTCATAAAATCGCACTCCCCTGGTCCCCTCCACTACCAAATTACTCCATCCTTACAGTAATCTTGCTCCACCCAGGTCTGGGCACTTTAAGAGGGATTTTCGCTAGACTAGGAGACTCAAAGCCATCAAAACTCTAGAACAATAACTGTCCCGTACACGTCCCCGGGATCTCGCCGGGTGGGATGCTCCGGGCGGTAGGGAAGGCTCGGCTCACCTGGGGCGTGACCATCGGAGGCCTCGGGGCCATTCCTGCCTCAGTGTGTGCTGGCTACGATCCGGGGCTGAGGAGAGAGGACAGGATCCACTCATCCCGCTACCCCGCCGCCCTATCCCTGCAGCCCTGCAGCCACTTCAGCCCAAAGGGCCGAAGGAGACCGCCTCCGCCTGCATCTCCCCCAAGGCCAAATGAAAGGCCCTGGCCGCCTCGCCACGCCCAGTCCGCCCGCAGGATGGTGGGCGAGGCCGGGAGTCCAGCCTCCTACCCACGGCACTGGGAATCACCGCCTCCGGGGCTTCGGGATCCGCGACCTCGGGACCGCCCCTCTAGCGCCCGCTGCAGTCTCTGTTCGCGGCGGTGCTGTCCTGAGTAAGGGCCAGCTTCGCAAACCTGCCTCCGCCACCACAGGGCCGGACAATGGCCTCAGCGGCGGGCACAGAACCGCAGTGCGCCTGCGCACACGGAGCCCGGCGCCCGCCCACCCGAGGCTCTGGAACTGCAATTCCTAGTTTATCCTTGCGTGTCCTGCCTGCGGACGTGCTCCGCTCCCTAGTGGGCGCTGTAGTAAGAGCCCAAGAAAGCGGGCAGTGTAGGTTCAAAGTTTTTGTTTTGGGAGATTGGTGGCTGTGTGTATGTTTTGGGAGAATGGGGGTGGTGTGTGTGTGTGTGTGTGTGTGTGTGTGTGTGTGTGTGTGTGTATGTGTGTGTTTTGTTTTGGGAGATTGGGGGCGGTGTGTGTGTGTATGTGTTTTGACTCCTTTCTTGAACTGCTAGAATTTTGCCTCATCCGTCTTTCTCCCAGACCATCCCACTTCTTTCATTCTTTCTTTTTTAATTTTGTTTGTTTTGTTTTGTTTTTGGAGACAGGGTTTCTCTGTATATATAGCCTTGGCTGTCCTGGAACTCACTCTGTAGACCAGGCTGGCCTCGAACTCACAGAGATTGCCCTGCTTCTGCCTCCGGAGTCCTGGGGTTAAAGGCATGTGCCACCACTCCTGGCCCCCACTTCTTTTTTCAAAGATCTTGGTTGAGATATAGTTTACAGACCATAATATCATAAAGCTTAACTATTACCGTAAGGCACACGTTACGGACTGGAGGATCAGATGTTCAAGGCCATCCTCAGCTGTGGTTCAAGGCCAGCCTGGGCTATAAAAGACCCAGTCCTACAAGGCCAAAATAAAGAAATAAATAATGCACGCATGAATATAAAGTGTACAATCCCACAGATTTTAGTACATGCAGAGAATCTGCACAACCATCAATCTAGTGTCCTCTTTGAACACTTTCGTCAGCCACAAAAGAAAAAATGTGCACATTAATAACCCTTCCCTAGTCCTACCCCCACCACCTCTCACTGTTGGACAACCACTGACCTGTGTTGTCTGTGTAACAAATCTGCCTCCTCTGGATGTTTCATGTGAATGGGAACAGATAACATGGAGTTTTATGATTGATTTCTTTCACTTATCATAGTGGTTTTGAGTTCATTCACATTGCAGAAAATTTCCATATTTCATTCTTATTTTATGCTGAATGGGAGATTTGACTGTCTGAGCAGACTATATTCATTCATCAGCTGGTGGCATTTGAGTTGTTTACATTGTGGGATTTTATGTTTTAATCTTCAAAGCAACATTCCTGGGGGTGTGTACATACTTTTATGGGGTGCTGTTTCCTTACTCTTGGGTAGATACTGAAAAGTAGAATTATGGATATTTGGTAGCACGATGGTTAAACATTTCGAGAAGCTGAATTTATTTTCTAAAGCAGCTGTATCATTTTATACTTTTTTGTTTTACTAACAGAACATAGATTCCAACATTCCTATCCACATCTGTTGCTATCTGTCTTTTTTTATTACAGCATTATGTGGATTTTGCAGGTGTGTGGGGTTTGGAAAAAGTATAAACAACAACTAATGTGCAAATATTTTGCGCACTAAACAATAGTAGCAGATCTATAATACAAAGCAGAAGTCCAATAAATCCTGGACGATTCCTAAAATAGAACTTTCTGTAGATGTGCAAACACAGGGCCAAGATGGCTCAGCCTGTCCCTGAGCACTGGCAGCAATGCGGCCCACAGAGAAGGATACAACTAAGGGCCAGAGCAGCACCCTGGGGACCCCGACACAAGGGGAGGACTCCGAAGTGACATGGAGAGACCTAAGAGTGAAGACCGGGTCTCAAAACCAACCAAAACATTCACAACAACAACAAAAAACAAATCCTTACCAAGCTAGAGTTAAAACAATGTAAAAGTTTTATTTGGCCCATGGTGGCTCATGCCTTTTATCTCAGCACTGGGAGGGTGTGTGTGTGTGCAGAGATGGGAGGATCTCTGTGATTGTGTGTGTGTGTGTGTGTGTGTATGTGTGTGTGTGTGTATGTGTGTGTGTGTGTGTATGTGTGTGTGTGCAGAGATGGGAGGATCTCTGTGATTGTGTGTGTGTGTGTGTGTGTGTGTGTTGGAGAGCAGAAAGTTGGACAACCCCAGGGAGTTGGTTGTCTCTTCCACTTTCTGAATTCGGGTCTTCAGACTTTCAATTCAAATGTTTTTACCCATCCTCTGTGAAGCAATTTCTACTCACTGTTTACAAGATTGGAAAAAGGCTTCAGTTTGTCCATTTTAAAGACCAAGTTGACCAGGTGTAGTAATGAGCACCTTTAATCCTAGCACTTGGGAGGCAGAGGCAGGCGGGTTTCTGTGAGTTCAAAGTCAGCCTGGTCTACAGAGTTCCAGGACAGGCAGGGCTACGAAAAGAGTCCCTGTCTCAAAAATGAACAAAGCAAAGATCCACCTGCCTCTGCCTCCCAAGTGCTAGGATTAAAGGCATGTGCCACCACCGCCTGACTTGGAACCACATACTCAGAGGAATTTATTGGCTCTCCCTCTGAGTTACCTCAGCAAGGACTGGGGCATGGTGTCGAGATGTAATTCATCTCGGTATGCAGCTGGCTGATCCAGTGAAGGTCCCACGCAGGTTCTGCAACCTAGAGTAAGCTTGAGAGCAGGTACTTAATGGTCCCAGGACGGATCTACAGAGCCGGGACCCTAGGATGCTCCTAGCCACAGGCTCTCCAAGCGCAAGTGTGGTTCCTCCTTGGCCCCTGGAGATGGGAGTCAAGTCAGCGATTATTGTCTGGTCGTTAACTCAAGATTTAAGGAGCCGACAGAGGAGAGCGTGTGTCCCCAGCAAGTTCAGAACTGGACATTCATAGCACTAACAAATTGCTAACCAATCAAAACCTCTCAGGGCAGTCTCTTTGGCCTCCGTATCTGCTTCTGATTTCTGAGTTTTGAGGTAGGAAAGAGAGAACGGTGCTAGGGACACGGAGGTATCCGAACAATGCTCCCTTTCACCCTCAACCCGTGCCCTGGTGGGCAAGAGGCCGCTCCTTTCTGTTTGAGAGGAGGATGCTGGACTCAGTGTGACCTTGTCGAAGCTAGGGGGAGCCAAAGAAACCGGTTAATAATATCTTCCTCTGCCCCGGCTGGAAGATAACGCCGAGGACTGAAAGGTCCTCAGTTGCACACTGGGTGAGCAGTGGGTTCAGCCTTCTGGCTGAGATCCCCGGTTTTGCACAAGGGCATCCAAGAAAACTAGTGAAAGGCGATGGGACCCAGTAAATGCACCGCGGCCTTGTTATGAAAACCTGTGAAAAGGGAATCCCAGTCCCCGCCTGTTTTTCTGCACACAGCAAGACACCAGACACCGAGTCCTGCCAACACCGCTGCGGCGCTGCTTGGGTTCTGTATAACTTCAGCTTTCCTCGTCTAAGGCCTAATTGAGGAGTTATTGAGAGTCCACTCTGGGTTGCCTCCAGGGAAGCAAGTTCCCCACTCTGTCACCCTCTCCCGCGTAGTTCAAACTAGCTTGAACTCATAGTATAACTCCAGCTGTCCTCAAACTCTCTTCAGCCTTGAGAGCGATAGGGTTACAGGAGAGAGCCACCACACCTGACTCCACTAAAACCAAACCCTTGTTTTAAGGATCCTAAGGGTTTAGCGTTGTTCAGACCGCAGGCTTCGATCGCCATCTGCTGGTCACTATGATACATACACATTACTGTTCTAAAGTTTATTGTAATTATACTTCGACAAGTTTGTTCCTCCCAGGAACTAGGCCTGGAGGTTTACAGAATTATCTTAACTTGAAGTTAAAAACCCATGAAAACAGATTGGAATTGTAACTCAGTGGTAGAGCTCTTGCCTCACATCCTTCTGCCCCAGGTTCAATCCCTGGTCTGGGGTAAGGTTAAGGTCGTCTCTCTGCATTGTATGTGTAAAAAATAGCTTCAGAGACTATAAGCAGAATATTAGAAACTTACCAAACTACCAAATGCCACATCTGGAATCCCAGTGACCTATCTCCCAGAGCTCTCCCATGGGACAAGTGAGTCGCTGGCCTGTCTACCTGCCTAGGCTTAGCACATTTTCCCTAGGGAAGACCCTCATGTCCCTCTGCACCAAGAGGAGCTGGGCTGGTTCAGTCTGGCTACTGGCACAATGCAGGGCGCCACGATGATGCTAAACTGTTAACACATTCCTTATTCCCACTGTATTCAAGGATCAAGTTTTATCAATCAGCATGCTTTTGAGACTCAGGCTCTGGGAGGAAAGGGAGGAGGGGGAATGAACAGGCCTATAATTCAATAGTTGAATGTTTGCCTGCTGAACACCACAAAGAAAAAAAAAAGATTCTTAAAGAACACACTATTAAACAAGACTTTATCCTTCGTGTTTTTGTTTGTTTGTTTGTTTTTAGTCAGAGTTTCTCTACACAGCCTGGCTGTCCTGGATCTAAGTAGGCCAGGCTTGCCTTGAACTCACAGAGATCTACCAGCCTCTGCTTCTGCTGGGACTAGAGGTGCGCACCACCACTGCCTGGCTCTTTGTTTTTGAGGTAATCTCCTGTGGCCCAGGCTGGCCTCCAACTGTACATGTATGTAGCAGCGAATCACTCTGAGCTCCGAGTGCTCCTGCCTCCACCTTCTGAGCCCTGGGGTGACAGGCATGGGCCACTATACTGGCTTGATTTCCTTCCTTTCTCTTCAGCTCTATTCCCAGTCCTGGTGCTGTGTGGTCGTCACCAAGTGATTCTCTCTTTCTGAGTTTCTGTCTCATCTGTTTAATGAAGGAGTTGGTCTGACTGATGGAAAACCCCCTTTTATTTTCCTCTCATACCTGCCGTGAAGATGTGGCAGGCTATGGGGTCATGGAGGGACTTCAGCTGGTGCCTTTGTTCCTGCCTGATTTTTGGCCTGGACTCACAGGTTGCCTGGGAGTGAAATGTCCCAGCTGCCTGCCATGCCTCTGGCATTCTTCTTACTTCTGGGCCAATGTCTTGGGGAAAGGCAGCATTACCGTGGTAACCCAGGGGCTGGTGTAAGCTCTTTTGCCCCCTGGTGGACATCTGAGGGCTTCGCAGGATGG